CCCTGCATCAAAACCAGTGTACCAAACGCAAGTCACGTCGAGAGTTCACTGCATCAAAACCAGAAAGGGCCGTTATTTTGGGAAAGGATGGGAAAGGTACGCCATCTGAAGAAAGTCGACCTATCCCGTGCCTGCACCCAATTTCTGGAGCCTGACAAAGAAAAGCGGCCAAAGTGGCTGTGGAACGACGTGCTGGCTCTGCGTTTCATCTCTCCTCCCTCCCTGGGCACCTCTGACAAGCCGCCCATCCGCACGACCACGTTGCCCTCTGCACACCGCACCCGCATCCATCGGCAGGTGCGAAGGCGAGGGCGAGGGCGCGCTTTCGGGCGCCGCAGGACCGAGGCCATCGGGGTCGTTGGCAGGACCGAGGCCAAGGTTGCGGTGACCGTGTGTTCGATGGTGGTAAGCCTGCCCCAACATGGAGGCCAACATGAAGTTGTTTCAGTGCAAGCTACATCGATGTGTCTGTTCAAGTTTGGCGGCTTGCAGCAACAACTTCATACATATATATATATATACATACACTACGGTATATTTATATATAATCCCGAGTACCTATTACAACATATTACAACGTCCGAACCCCTAAATTCGGTTTATATTTGGCTTTAAATTACCGCCCTTTCAAACCGCCACTAAACTACCAACATGGTCCATTTTGGTGGTAGTTGTTTTAATTAGGTTCCCCCAAAACTCCCTCGTGACACGCCGCGTTTACACCAGCCAGTTTTCCTTCCTCCAATGGCACGGACTCACGCAAACGCACTTGCCACCGAGGTCGTGCAAAACCGCATGACACAGCGACATCACCTTTTCGAAAGCTTTGGTTGTTAGTCTAATGAAGAATCAGTATTTAATAAAGGTTTTTGTAGAGGAAAAGGAAGACCCTTGGATCTGGATGGATCTGGAAGTTTACGAGTTTAATAAAGGATTTTATATAAAACTTTTCTGGATTACTTTTTGGTTTTGAAGCTCTTCCCAGGTGACCCTATTTTGGACCCCCCGATTTCAGGGACCCCCCTATTGGAAAAAATGCGACCGAGTTGTTTTTAATAGGGGGGGGAATGTTTATTAATTAATAGGTGGACGGGATTACAGTGTACACATCTGTACAAGTCTGTACACATGTTTAACGCCAGAGCTCATGAGCCATAGTCATACAACAGCCTTGGCAAGCAAGAAAATATTGGGCGCAAGCACGCATGGTGGGCGTTGTTTGGAGCGGATGTTCCACAGTGTTCCACCGCCTTTGATGGCTTCATCAACATGAACATCGAGCACTGAAACACCCACCAAGGAGTATGGCTTCAATGCCTCCCCAGCCGATCCCGACGTTTTTGCAAAAGCGCCAGGAGTCGTCATCCGCCAAGTTTCCGAGTCCGGACGAAAGGCCGGTTGCACTCGGTGTTCTCGGCAGGCGCAAGAGATCACAACCGAATTTTTCGGCGCTCTCGAGGGTTACACTCCCTGGAATCATCATGGAAGTGAAAAACCACAAACCACCTGTTTGTAGAGGAAAATGGCAGTTCCAAGGGATCACTTTCCACTTCCAGGTTGGTTCCAGGGAGTGTATTTCGGAGGTTCGTTCGATGTTCACAAGGACTATGGGCCTCAAGAAGCTGGCCCGAACGAGGTGACTCAGCTGGAGAGATCGCCCTTCTTTCCGACGAAGATGTACCACTTCCTCAGCAAGTCCAGCGAGGCGAAACACTGTACCTACAGAGGTGGCCAGTGACCTGAACTAGGACCCGTAACCAGGGGTACCTATAGGATAGTCGAACGTTCGGGTTCTGACCCACCTCTGCATCCTCTGCTGGTAGACGGTTCGAAGAAAATGCTCGCCCTCTCTCGATCTCTCTCTCGCCCCCTCTCTACCTCTCTCAACGATTGAACAATGCTGGCATGGCTGTGAAGTTTCACCAAGCAGGACAAGGGATGGACACGGTTGCCAAACCAGGACTGCCCTAAACCTCCCAAACCTCCGAAGACTAGGGGAGGGGGAAAGGGCTCCGAAGACATCCGGAAAGAACTTTGAAACGCAGGAGTGCCTGGAAAGTGGAACCTTGAGAACCTCATAGACGCCTTGAATCATCTTTCCCATATGCTTCCGGTCATGGTGAATTTGAAGGTTTACAAATGTTTACAGGAAAGAGGTAGTGTTGGTTCGATCCATATTGAAAATGGATTCACTCTCTTATCTTTCTAATGATTTATATACAGTATTTGGAAGCACCCTGCGAGGTGACTCCACAAAAGCCCCAACTACCCTGGCCATAGACGAAGTATGATGAACTTCCCTGTTGGTTAAGGTGCAGCGGCCCCCTTCATGTGAAACAAATCCTTTATCATTTGCGACTTTTGCGCCATGTCTTCAGGTCCAAGGCGCAAATCTCCATCCATGGCTGCTTGCCTCTCCAAAGACCATGTGTCTTTGACCCAGTGGTAATCTTCTTTTTGAATCCTGGGCTCCACATCTTGGCACCGATTTATTGGACGACTCGGCCAGTGCGGATCCTGGGTTGCTGAACCGGAGCCAGCCGGTCAGCGAGCTGAATCACCGAGGGCCTCCAAACCCCTTAAGATCAATAGGTTGCTTCACCTTCACCTCCCAAAAACGGCCTTCACCTCCCAACCCTGCGAACCACGTGCGGCTGCCGGGTGAACGGTCGAGATCACGCCCAGTCGCTCGATGTCAGACTCGATGGAGGCCTGGCGGTCGGACCGGATGGGTGGCGTCATAGGTCAAGCGCTGCACACGCTATCCTCCCTAGCCTGCTACACCAGTAACATCCAGTAACAGTAGGCCGCAGGCCTTTGAAAAAATCTTTGAACCCCCGCGTGCCACAAAAAGTGCCTCATAGGTCATAGTCATAGGACACATTGTCATCTCTCGTGGGGTCCTGTTTGGACGGCTCGTCCTCCAAGCCAGTATCAGCTGACGTTTTTCCACGTGAGGAAACCACAACCACAACCCTTGACCACTGAATCCCATCGAGGCCAACATATGCCAACATCCCATGAGGCCCATGATCTGCTGCCTTGTAGAGCTTCAGCTTCTCCATGGCCGCCTGGCCAGTCACTCCAAGTCACTCCGAGTCACTCCGAGTCACGTCGATCGAACACCACCAAGTCGACCCCCAACCGTTGTGCACCTGTCACAAGCAACAACATTCACGGTTCCCACCGGGTCACAAGCTTTAAAGTTGCATGACCTCCAAGGTCTACCTGTGTCTAAGTCTCAAGTATTGGCAATGATACGGCAAGTCTGTGCATAATATGCCATTTATGATGTGACGTATAATTACTACTGTTCCACACGTCCCTATCTGTATCCAAAAATGCATATGCACATATATGCTGGCGCTATACCATACATGAATGATTTCTGCTTAAAACATACCAGTAACTCAAAGGACATCAGGATTTGGTGAGCATCTTGTCATTTATTCAGGTTTCATCTACCACTGATTTTTGTATGTCTTTGGTGAATGTTCGAAATGGGTGTATTTTTCTTACAGTTTTGGGATCCTATGTCCGTCTCTTCACATTACGTTGTCGTGTCTTCAGTAAGCCTTGACCATGGGTACCCATACCCCATGCGTTGTCAGTGCTCCGTCCTCTCACCATTGGGCCAAACCAGGACGCGCCGTCCCCACACCCCGCGCCGCCGTGCCGATGCACGCTCCGGTTGTGTCGCCTCAGAGGCTTCCTTCTGCACTTCCTCAGGGAGGCCCTTCAGGGCGTCCTGGTGAGATCATCCCCGACTGCTGCGAGTCATGTGACGGCTATGCCGTCAGGTTTGCAGGTTCGCAGGAGTGGTTGCATTGGACTATATAACTCATCTGTTTGGTGGCTTCAGAATAGGATGGCCTCAAAGACTACAATAGTTAGTTTGTTGTGCTGGTGATGAATCAAGTCCGGACTCACCTTGGGTTTTTCTGGTCAACAAAGCCCTAGATTCTAGATTGTCTTGGACTGCTATGGCTATGAAGGTATGAAGGATTGCTCAAGTTAACATACGATGATTCTACCTTGCTTTAAACTGCCTGGATTCGGCTCCTGGATCTTCTCTTGTGAGTTGTCCAGGTCCATCTGCCCCACTTTCCACCTCGATCCGGAGATCTGGAGTTGTGGAAAATGTTGAGGGAGTGGTGAAAGTTTCACTCCTTCCAATTGGGACCTTGGCAGGTGGCCCAAAACCCAGTGATTCCAAGAAGGGCCGATTTCGGAGTGCACCCAAAATCGCAAAACGTGCCGGACATCGTTTCAATCAATGTTGGGACACCTTCTTTAAAAGAGCCTGGTCAGAAGTGGGAGAGGAAAAGAAAACACAGGTCTGTCTCCAAGAGTGCCCCCTTGAATAGGCTCTTGACAATGACTTAGTGAAGTATATGACTATATATGACTATATGTAGTCCAGTTACATTCACCTCTTTTGACACGAATTCCTGCCCTGTGGTCAAGAAGGGGGCGAGACTTTCTTCTTTCCCGACATGAAACCGTCCGTCGTCGAGCAGTGCACCGTATGGTGCATCGACCAGTGGACCGTACAGCGGCGAACGTGGTGCGCGCTCCAAGCGCGCCACGTGCTCGGCCCCAAGTTCTCTTCGATTCGAGCCAGGCCCTGGACGCGACAGCGTCACTGACACGTGGGCGACAAAGAGCCCCCCCTGCCTCGTGCTGAGTTTCCGTGTCCTCCTTTTCTGGGTGTCTTGTACTATTCAGTTGGGACATATTGGGCCGCAAAAGGGGTAGGAACATCATGCTCAACCACCAGGGGCGTTCTGCCAGTTCTCCAGCTTTACCACCGAGGCGCTGCAGAAGACCAAGGCCCACAAGAAGAAGCAAACAACGTATACTGTATAAAATGAAGAAAGTCTAAAGAAGTAACAGGCCCTAGTTTTGTATACAGTATACAGTGTAAGGACCAAGGCCCACAAAAAAAAAGTGTTGTGTTCTTGCTCTTCTCTGTCGCCTGTCGCTTTACCACCAAAACATCAAGACCGAGGCGATACTAAAACCACACTGATCCAGAAGAAGGCGTACTTTCAAAAGGACTGCGCATCGCATTCCCATCCTTCCCTTTCCTTTCCCTTCTTCCTTCCATTTCCTCCTTCCGCCTGCTGGGCCACTGTTTGGCCTAAGCCTTTAAGCAAATTCATTGTCTTCCCTCTTCTTTGCGCCTTTGTCTTGTACTGCTCAACTCTACCGCTCTTTGAGGCGTCTTTCGCCTGTTTTGCATCTTTTGCAACATGGTATCCTTTTGCCTCTGTGGTCCGTCTTCAGCAGCGGCTTGGTTTATGATGCTCATCAATCCAGTCATGCTAACGAACTAACTAACTTACTAACTAACTGACTATAGGCATACGGCGGTGTATATAACTTATATAACTATAACTGTAACTAGGTCCACCGCCCATAGAGGGCCGTAGGTCGAAATGACATTTCTGATCACCAGCATGTCTCAGATGCCCGGAATTACATTGGGGAAAATGTGTTCAGTTTTTTCAAGGATTGAATGACGTAATTACCTTGGGAAACCATTGTTCAATGTACTCACCAGTAGAATGGCGACATCAACAGTTAAAAGAAGGGGCAACTCCCACAATCGTTTATGGACTTGTCTGGAGGGACATGTCTTCGATCATCTGCTGGATGTCAATGACCTTTTCAAGCTCATGCTCTCATGGCCCGTGTGCTTTCAGCAATCTTTTCAAAGCTGTGTAGAACTCTGCCGGGGTTGCAGGCATCACAGACTGTCCAGTGCCCCAACCGCAACAACAAAATGAAAGCAAGAGACAAAGCAGAAAGAAAGGAAAAACACACCATACTGAGACCTGGAAAACTGCGGAATACAACGCACGCGCTTGACGGAAAAGAAACTGTGCCAAGAATCGCATTTAAAAATGACATTGATGGAACATATATATAAGTACTTTTCCGGGGAAGAGACCGTGACTCACAACCTATACTGCATCGACCACGGACGTTATTATCCCAGCCCCACCCCACCCACCCTCCAGAACAAACACATAAAAAAACATCAAAAACAGCACAAAACACCACGGCCCTATGGGCGGTGCTCCAACTAGCTGGGAAGGACTGTCCACACGCCTCCTCCATGTACTTGATGAAGTCTTGAGTGTGATCCTGGCAAAGAACATGCAGCACAAGCTACTATAGCAGCTGGCAACAGTTTTGACATTCTCGTCAGGCCCTGCACCAAGCCTCACCCGGGCCCCATCGCCTCTGCAAGGCTCACTTCAAAGTGGTGTGCCAAGAGTTCTTCGAGCTCTGCTGGAGAACTGCAGTCGTAGTGCCTGCAGGAAGCACGCGAGGACGCACGCGAGGTTGGCAGCTTCTTGGCATGCTACAGCTTGTGCAAGTCTGAGCGCGGGCATGCGAGATGGACTGAGCACCTGGGCATGAAGCACAGCTAGTTAGAAGAGAAGCTTCAGCATGGCCCAGGGTCAATTCCGCAAACTCATCAACTTGCTCTCATATCAAGGACTATCAAGGACCCAAGCCTACCCAAGAATCAAACACCAACCCATCTGTGCACTTCATCTGCCCTGTTTTCCTCCCTCTCTGCCCAGCCCATCTCCGCGCCAGCGCCGGATGTGGCTTTGGAAGGTCTGCGAGAGTGCCGGGCGACCCCGGCAGTAGTCGATGATCAACACGCGTCCGCCGGGCCTTCGTTGATCAAACAGGAAGAAGCCCAAGAGGACGCGAACCGAACGGAGCAAGGATGGGCATCGCTACGAACGGAGCAAGGGGACGCTACGAACCGGGCGACCCTGGCCTTACTACTGGTAACAAGGACGCTACTAGCCTCGAGTGGGACCAGACTTCTGGAGTCGCAATATGTCTATATGACTCTGACTGTTTATATGCATGCCGCTGCATGCAAGAACGCAAGATTGTAAGATTGTGTTTGTTTCAGGTCCTTCATGCTCTATGCTTGCACATGTCTTTTTGAGCTGGCGATCCGCCCACATAGAAGCTAACAGGAGTCCATGTCGAATTCCTTTCGTCGAATCTGGCAGTGTCCCAGGTTGTGAGGGCTCATGCCTGAGCATCTTCTTGACTTTTCTCAAGATCACTGCCTTGTCCTCCGGCTCCAAATACCTTGGGATGGCGGCTCCAACTCCAAATACCACTGCGGTCCACCCGGGAACGGCACCGGGAACGCCAAACCACTCACTCACCGGGTTTTGCCGGGTCGCCGGTCCGGTTCCCGGTGACCTGGGACCAGCAAGACACCACGTGGTTTGTAGAGGAAAACTGGTCATCCAAGCTAACATGATCTAACATGCTATTCACTTCCAAACTGGTCAAATGTATGGTGTCATGCATGGCCATGCATGGAAAACACCATCCACTTCCATCCGCTTCCATTTACAGGCGTTGTACATAAAGGTCTCTCGGATGACCACCAAGTCGAAGATGTTGGGAGGATATCGAAGCTCATTCTCCTTAGCACGGAGAGGGAGCGTATAGGGTCCGGGGGTCCGTATGTCTTCTCGAACGCCCCGGACCACATCAAGCTCTATGGTTATACAGTTGAGTTGGTAGACATAAAGCTCATGGCTCATGGCTCATAGCTCAAGTCTGAAGCCAAAGTATCAAACCATTAGAATGCCTGTTCCCTCTCAAAGCTTGGCACTTTAGGACTCACTCCTGTAGATTTTGTAATAAAGCGAATTCTCCCTTGAGAGTCAACCACAAACCCGCACTCATCGGTGAGCTCGTCAGCAAAGGTGAAGCTTCTGACGAGCTGTGTCACCAAACCCCCGGCGGATGGCAGCCGGGCATGCAGGGGCACTTTCATGCATGTGCATGCACCACGGTCGTGGCGGTTTGAGGCCGCCACATGGGCAGGGTCAGCGAAGATGTGTTCAGTGTTTGTGCATAATCTTCTGGTCCATCTGTCTCCGGAACGTGACCTTTGATCACCCCATGTATGTTTGAGAAATCACCCATCCCACATGCACCATTCCTCCCTTCTCTGGCCCAATGCACCTCTTGATCATAACAATATGTATATATAGTTCACGTGAGAAACCCCTCCTCATGAAGAGATTAGTCTGGCGAAGCCTCCAGGTCATTCAGGGAGGGTTCCAAACTGTGCGATAGTGTTCTCATGTGTTCTCCACCACCTTGGAAATACTGACCGCTTGCAGCAAACCAAGCAGGTTTCCTGGCCGGGGCCCTGAACCTTTGACAGAACCCTGCCGTGCAGGTCCTCACCGGGTCACCCCTCCGCCCGTTTCCCTCGCTGCTTAGGGTCGCTCCACCTCCCAACGAAAGGGACTCGACGGGACTTCTTACATACACCCAAGTTTGGAAGATACTACACAAAACAAACCCCATTTTGGTAGTGTCTAGTTCATATTAGCTATTTGACACTCAAGTTTCACACCCAGCCCAGAAGGATGGCCCGTCGATTTCACCCCAAGCGTCTGGCACCCCACACTCCGGGGTCAGCTCGAAGCTTACTCGTGCACGCAGCTCGCTCGGCACCTGTTTTTCCCAGTTTGGCATAGGTAGCGAGCCCAAAATGCTTGTGGAATCCTGAATTTCCCCCTTAGCGATAGGATCCTTGAGTTTCCCACCCTCACCAGCCCAAGACAGCGCATCAAGCCACAACATAAAGACAGCGGAAAAGGTGGCTTCACCACGTTCATGTCTGCAAGTTGTGTGCGCCTGTGGGAGCCGGCCCGCATTGAAGGAGGCCATCTCTGAACTCCAGTTCGCACCATGCACAAAGATGCCTCCCATTGCGAACATGGTTAGCGTGGAAATGGGAGTTGCAATTCTTGGAATGCTGGTATGGCCTCCAAATTAGGTATGTTGGTCTGGCCCTGGTGCTACTGTTCAAGCCGACCAGCGGAACAGCTAGCGGTCTAAAACCCAGCTTTGCTGTGGGCTCCATGGACTGACCAGTTTCCAAACAAATATACAGACCCCCAAATGGGCCCAACAAGCTAGTGGAAACCTGGAGGCCTGCTGGGGGGGTTCATGGGGGTTCCAACAAGAGAACCCCAAATAGATACAAAAAGTAAATCCCCAGGTAGAAAATGTAGAATCCATGCCACGGTCATCTATTTGGGGACCACTATCGTAATGATTTTCGTTCTTGGCCAGGTCAACGACTGGTAGTTGCCGGAACCAGGCCCAAACCGTTGTGTGGTTTGTTGGGTCCGCATTGAGCGGACCGCCGTGCTTGGATCGGCCCAAGCTGAAGCAAAAAGGATCGGCCCGGCCTCGCCAACAGGACCCAAAGATGTCAAAACCCTCTTCCAGGACCCTCCAATAGGCCACCAATTGAAACCTGTTAGAGCCTAACCCTCCATTTCGGAGACCTGTTAGAGTCGGGTGCAGGTTGAACGAAGACTGGTGCTGGCGACCCGGGGCGACCCGGTCGACATCACGGTGCGGCGGCCCGGCGGTTTACGGCGTGGCGACTGGTTTTTGCGACCTGCGCCAAGCGAGATGTTGGCCAGTCACATGGAGTTGGGTGCAGTTTCCGAACGGAGGAAGATCGGGGTGCCCCTGTCACATCACAACCACTCGCTTTCCTGAGGAAGTCGGACCACACCACCCCGAGCAACATGTGACTCTTGGGGCGTTCTCCTGGTCTTTGCAGCATGAAACACTGCAGCATCCTATTCAAGGTGATGATTCCGATGACCCCACTGCAAGCAACAGGCGTTCGGTCTTCGAGGTGTTCGGTTTTCGTGGAAAACGAAGGAAGGCGTGTCGACAGACCAAGAAGAACTCCAAGCGAAATGGGCCTCGACCTAGTTGTCAAACAAGCACCAGTCAGACAGCCAATCAGAATCGTTGCATCGCTTGGGGTTGAGTCATGTTCACTGATGGTCACCCTGGAGTCTGTTCCTTAGGCATCTTAGACTCACTCGTTTCCCCAACGACACCTGGACAATGCGAGGCCAAATAGTAGGCCGTGCCCCCAGCCCCGCAGCCGACGTCAAGGACGCTGGCGCCTGGAGGCAGAGTGGCGCGGAGTGCGAAAGAGACCGGTCTACCCAGCCAGGGCAGGGCGGTCTCCCTGTGCGATTCGGAATCACAACAAAATATGTTGTTTTGAAAGGGGTGCATCTCCAACCCTTCCTTTAAATGTTTTAAAATAAACGCCAAATTGATCGTAGGGGTTCAGCACGGTTCATCAATCAGCAGTCTACATTGGCATTCCTACAAGGCACGCCTCCAAAATTCACCGAATCATGCTTAATCAGCGTAATCAGCAACCATGTTCCTCATCTTCCAACCCATAACGGTGGCTTGTCACAATTCGATTGGGGCACATCATATTGGTCAATAGCTTCACGGTTGTTGTGGCTTCATTAGAATGAATTATGTATATCGGTGAATCAAACATATAGGTCAGTGATGTCATAATTATGATGCTATATGTCACAAATGTCTAATTGTTAATACCTGTTTTGCGGGGGGAATCCTGGAGCCACTCTTTTCCTGAAGTTCCACGAACATGGCCTGGTGGCCTCCCACCAAATCCTTGGGCGGCCCCTCCTGGCTGCAGGTTTGGCTGGCCCAGGTCCACGAGCTTCTGCGAGATCTCATCGCCGCCCGTGTAGATGTACCCCCGGCCGTAGATCTTCTCCTCGCACCGGCGGGCAGGAGAGGACCGGCCGATGACCCACCGACCGAACCACCCCATTGGAACGGTTCTTCCAAAGGGCCTTGCTTAGCTACCATCCATGCCCCGGGTCCCAAAGGTCCATGCCCCGGGTCCCAAAGGTCCATGCACCGGGTCCCAAAGGTCCATGCACCGGTCCCCAAGTCCCGCATCCATCGGCTTCGGTGAGATGGGGGACACATGGGATCCCTGAGATGGGGGACCTTCCACACGGATGACAAACAAATCCGTCCAATGTGAGTTCCTTCGACGATGACCTTGGATTTTCAACCTGGAAAACATCCAAACATACTTGAGGCCAAGGGGGCGGGCGAAAGCTAGCGCTCCAGAATGGGAAAGTGGAGGGCAGCGAGGTAGGAAAAAA